GTCTGTGATCCACAGCTGAAAATGTTCTCATTGATCAATAATAGAGTTCTTCACCCTCATCTAATATTAGACTGACTACATGTATGTAAGCACATCTAAAACAGTCCTTCACCATGAAATGAAAGCCGATCTGAGAAATGGGATGATGTGAATCCCAGAGATATCAGATCAGAAGCATCATATTTCAGAAAGAAAACTTTGGCAGCAAACAAACCTTCTAAGCTTGCATCTGGAAAAGCGAGTCATTATGCTTCTCACATTATGATTTCATTTGTCTCGTACACCAGAGTGCATCTAAACATTTGGCAACATTTGGAAAAAAAGTCTGCATTCCTGTGAATATGGCACCACCCACATGAGTGTATGTATATTAGCCTCCTGCTTTCGATTCAACACTTCACTGTTAAACAAAAGTGATATTTAAATATTTCAAAGACAGAACTTCACAGTACGCATTGATACTTCACAGTATCACATATCCAAGCCATGTAAGCTACTTAACAGTGATATTATCAGCAGTTATTCAGTACAGTAAAACATTATCAGCAATGACGCACTTCTGGCATGTTTGTTTTTCAGTAGCAAATGCATGTTGGTCACTAAGGTGTCCATTATGGCATGGTAAAATATGAATGCGCAAAACAACATCCAAAACCATAGAAATGAAAGGCAGGTTGTCTCAAAATACATACACATTACATTTACAGTACATGGACATTTTGCACAACATAAGTCCTGTAAACACTGCATAGATGACTCTAGCACTAACATTTACACAATAACCAATTATATAAATAAAGCATAAAAATCTTAGTTTCAGAAAGTGCTCGGTTCTCATCAAATAAACAGATTTCCTGTATAATGTGTAGTTAGGTGTATGAAAACAGCAAAACTGAACTTTAAAGCGATATTTCACACAAAAATTACAGTTTTCTCGTTTAGTCAACCTCATATCATTTCAAGTCTGTATGACTTACTTTCTTCTGCACTGCAGAACAGAAATGAAGATTTGGAAAAATTACTTTTGTGTTATTTTGGACCCTTTTGACTTTCATTGTATTGGTAAAAACTATGGAAGCATGTTTCCACTGAATTAAAAAAACCCTCACAATTCTGACTTTGTTTCTCAGAACGACTTGAAACTGAATTTGTCTCAATTGTTTTGTTTTTTTCTGCCATAGAATGAAAAAAAAAATCTCACAAATATGACTTTTTCCCTTGCAATTACAAGTTTATATCTTACAGTTATGACTTATCTGAACTTTGAGTTGCAATTAACTTTTTTAGATTTTTATTCCGTGGCATTAACAGGATTCCCTCTTCAAAATATCTTCTTTTATGTCCCTCCATGTTAACTCTAAAATGCATGATTTGCATCCAAAATATTTACAAAATATCTTCTTTTGTGTTCCACAGAAGAAAGAAAATCATACAGAGTTGGAACAACAAGACGGTGCGCAAATGATGACAGAACTTTCATTTTTGGGTGAACTATCCCTTTAAATGAATGTGTGCATTTTGGTAAAAATCAGCTTTCCAAATAAATACATACTAAACTCTAAACTGCATAATTTGCATCCAGATTAATAAACGCGTGAAACCGAACACGAAAGAAATGTACATCTACTTTGGGACATTTTACAAAAATAAAAGTCTGCAAGTGCTCACAACAGACCCTCATTGGAATTAAGTTATATGAAGCTCTTATTGTCAAGCCACTTTCATTAATCTGGTCCAGTGGTTCAGTTGGGAATTAACCCCAATACCATTTGTCAAGATTGTTAATTGCTTTGTACTCATTGTGCCTTCTGACGTAATCGCAAGCCAGACACGTGTGCTCGGCCCAGAAGTACGCCTTTTTCACCTTAAAGTGTTTACGCCAGTCAAAGTACTTCAGGTAAAGCTCCTCGTTTTTGTCAAGGAAGAGGAGATAATCAGCCAGCTCCTTCGGAGACGGCAAGTCATCAACGTGGATGAAAGCATTTCCCTGCACGAAGTTCTGATAGTTCTCCCTTGGTGGTCCGAGCACAACGGGTACGGTGCCAACGGAAAGCGGGTTGTACAATTTCTCAGTGATATAGTCTTTGTGAATCGAGTTCTCGAATGCCAAATAGAATTTACAGCTTGCGATTGTAGGGAAATAGTCCTGGTCAGAAATGTACTCACCAAATGCTTGTCCGTATGCATGAACCTCGATGTGCTTGTAGAGTTCATTGTAGTATTTCACTCTGACGTGATCTGGGTTCCAATTGCTGACGATCCAACAAATCAGCTTGTTCTTGCTTGGCGGCACGAAGTCCTCCTCTCCTTGGGCTGCGACAATCGATCCATAAGGCACTTCTATATCAGCATCCTGCCGATAGTTTAGAGTTAAATTAAACAAGTTTTCAATTCCAGGTAACTGAGATGAATGCGAAGGTGATTCGAAGTTCATCCAAATCCATCTCTGCAACGTGGGCCGATACG